TGATTTACCTTGATGAGTGTTTTGGTGCTAGATGGTCACCAGGGTCTGATGGTGGAGCTGGAAGGTGGTCAAAGGAACTCAATAATCAAACGACTTAACCCCGTCTAGATTGGGCTCGTTAGATTTGCAACGACGAATGGTTTGGTGCTAGATGGTCACCAGGGTCTGATGATGGATCTGGAAGGTGGTCAACGGAACTCAATAATCAAACGACATAACCCGTTCGAGATTGGGCTCGTTTGATTTGCAATGACGAGTGGTTTGGTGCTAGAAGGTCACCAGGGTCTGATGATGGATCTGGAAGGTGGTCAACGGAACTCAGTAATCAAACGACATAACCCCATCGATTTCGTTGGGATTATATTGATAAATATTGACAATCGTCAATATTACTATACTGCTCCGAAATGGCTTGACCGATTTTTTTACACTTATGTGCATATTCAGGAGTCTGAGAATCGGCTACTATTTATTTTTTTAACCCGCGCGGACGGAGTGGCAGGCGACAGCTAAATTTTTTTTATAAAATCTTGAATTTTTTTGAAGTCAACTAGTAGTCTTGAAGGTTCTTAAGGTTACTTACGCAATCATAACCTGTAAATCACTTATTTACCACTTACTCGATATATGTATAATAAATTACGATATTTACCTTTTCCGTAAGAAGATAACTGCAATTTGTGATGGTACAGGAATCCATGAACTTATCGCCTACGTTGAGCCGCTTGGAGTTTACGCGGCGTGCCATCTTGGAAATAAAAGTCTTGCTCCTGCAACTGAAAAATCATGTTGAGGCACGGGTAAGGAATTTTTTGCAATAGAACGCTTATCTTTTATGTGCTGTATTATTATTCCTTTATTCATAATTTTTTACTTGTTTATATTAAATACCTTTTTTTGTTGTCAATGAGGGCAACATTTATTAACTTAGTAACTGTTCATAATCAAATTAAAAATTTTCAGTAGCGTGTATTTTTTTAAGTAACATCAATTTAAATTTTGCAGCGAACTCGATCCGACCAAGAGCAGCCAGGTCCGTCTACATCTAGAGATAGACCGGGCGGTCGAGCCCATCCAATCCAAGAGGTAGACGATGCCGAGGCTGTTGGCGCATTTCAACCTATGCCCAGCTCGATGCTTGAGGTAATTTAGCTAAGAATTAGACTGCCTTAACACTTCTAGTCTAAAATAATGTTTTGTCTGTAATTTCAAAATAATATAATAGAAAGAAGAAACCAAAAGTTACAATTACAAAAATACATTTGAATTATTTTCATTACTTCCTTTGAGATATATATTTCTCTAATTTGGCAAGAATATGCCAGTTAATATTTGTAAATTTTAGTTTTTGACCATTATGCCAAAAAAAATAATAATAATATAACTGAGATGTTTAGTTTATTATTTTATTTGTGTTGTATTTTCTTTTTTGATAAAAACTATCTTTTTATTTTGTAGGATCTCCCAATATTTCATCGGCATGCTGATGACATAGTAGGAGTGGTTGCAAGAGGGGACGATTACAACTATGGGTGAGTTTATTCCTCTAGTTAGTAGGACAAGTTAATTATTTTCTCTTCTTTTTACTAACGTAAGGCAGGGAATAAATATGAAACAAGTCTCAGAAAAAGAATACAAAAAGTATATGTATTATAAAATCTTATATATAAAATTCTCGTGTCACAATTTTCGTTCCCATACTCCTCCGAAACGGCTTGACCGATTCTCATGAAATTTTTTGAGCATATTGAGTAGGTCTGAGAATCGGACAACATCTATTTTAATCCCACGCGGACGGAGTCGCGGACGACGGCTACTATATATATATATATATCTTAGATGTGTATTTTCATGAACAGGCCTCGTCACGGTATGACGCTGTCAGGTCCCAACCCCAGGGAGTTGGCAAGTCTGATGGAGGAGTTGGAGATTCTGAATATGAGCTTTGCCAGATACCGCGCCATTTACATCGATCTTCTGATGGTTGCCAGTCGCACACCTGTAAGTATCTCTAAGAGACCGCGCCAAATCAAAGTCATGGGCCACAAGAGTTTTATGGCAGTTTTTTTATATTGACAGCTGGACGTCTACATGTTTAAACCCTTACCAGTAAACAAAAATTACCTAACTTTGGTACTTAAGGAATTGATTTACAATTTGTTACCTGTGTTAGAGTTATTAATTACTATTTAACTTAATACATCCAAACACTTGAACATCAACAACAAGGAAACATTATCCCCTGCTCTGCCGTTTCGTCGTTCTTCAAAATATGACGCTCTCAAGACATTCTTAGTCACATATTTTCTGACTGCTACAAGATCTTTGACCAATTGTATCAATAAAACTTATTAAGTAATCGACGTGAGTTGGCACGTCGGTTGTAAGAGTACTCTTGTCCATGACGTGCCATGTGTGTACATTATAGTGACTGAAAGTGTATTTGTTCAGCCCCCACCATGCAGCGAAGAGGAGAAGGCACACCAGAAGCGTACAATGGATCTGATTTGCACCATAATGCACAGCTTCGCGCATGCGTACCACACAATCAGCGACATATCATTAGACCTTACGCCGCAACTGCCACAGCTGACATCGGAGATATCAACCATGCATGCCACTATACCTGTCCATGTAAGTTTGCATACTGTTATTGCACATAAGTGTACTTGGAATATTTCTAAGGTCGATTTCCAATGTCGACATATTTATGTAAAAAACAGAGTCTACTATATATATGTTGAAAAAAATTACAATCAAACATAGCAAAAACATTTTTTTATATATATCAAATTACTCATTGATATGTGAATTTTGGTTGTGTTAAATTTTTGTTTGTATAAATATTTTTGCAGGCAGTGATCAATGTGTTCCAACCGCAACAAGGTGCTTGGGTGCCGCAAGGTCCCCCGGCCGATGGAAACGCTCAGCCGATGGCTGGACAGGGCAACGCAAACCCGGGGCAGGATGGCAGTGGCGCCGACCAGTCGCAACAACAAGCGCAGCAAGCGGCTGATGTGGCAAATATGGAACAAGTGCATTTTGGTAAGTGTTACAATGTGACAAGTGAAGCGAAGCGAATACGAAGCGAAGCGAATTCGAAGCGAAATCGAACATTACGGAAATATTAACATTTTAATATATATATATATATGATATGCAAAAAAGCGATTTTTGGCATTGCATTGGGATGACTGATATGTAAATGAAATCAAAATATTAAAGAAAATATAAAATTACTTTTTTTAATTAGATTGAATATTGTATGAAATGAGGTTAGCAATGGAATGTTTCATGTTATATAGATTTGGAAAATGTCTTCCGCGGTCTTGGGGGGCACCCCAGCGGCGTAGAGGTGGTGATGAGCATGGAGGAGATCCCAGCGGAAGCTGTGGCTGCAGGGCACATCGTTGGAGCGCCTATTAACCAGCTCCCGCTACAAGGCGACGGCCAAGGTATGTAGAAGAGTACTATACTGGCAGACTTAACTATTTTTTTTATATCATAAGTTGGCAAACAAAAAATGTCCACCTGAAATCGCCGAAACAACGAGACGTCCGGTGTCCATAGTCATCCGAATTTGCAGATGCGTTGCCTACCCTTTTCCTTATAAGGTACCCTTCTGCGACAAATCTAATTCTCATTCCATATGAGAAAAGTGTTGAGATAGGGAGGTTTCGGAATGAAGAAACACTATTTGTTAACTTCTTTACCGGAATACGATTCGAATGACAATCCGCTTGTCAAAGTTGGTACATTACTTAACCTCAACGGTAACAGTAGGACACAATAGAATTGCCATACAAACGGCCACACATACAAATGTTAAAATTATTACACTCCTGAGTCTGTAAGGTAAATGAAAACAATTATTCAGTGGAATATTCTATTAAGATTTTTAATTATAATTTTTTTCTGTTACAGTTTTCGCTGCACAATTGGGTATGCCGTGGGGCGCAGCTCCCAGCGCCGATTTCATTCATACCATTGTATCAACTGTGATTGAACATAGAATCGAGGGTGAAATTCCGCAGCAACCCCAACAGCAGCAGAATATTCAGCAGCAGATGCAACAACCGCAACAGCAGCAGCAGAATGTCCAGCAGCAGCAACAGCAACAGCAGCCGCAGCAGCCACAACAGCCACAACAGCCGCAACCTGCAAGCAAATACCGTCCTTCACTATACGATTCCGATACCGACTCCGACTCGGAAATGCAGACCAGCGGTTTGTCGCCGATGATACAAAAGACCCAGACGTCGCTTAGGATCAATTCTCCAGATGCCATGGAAACGGAATCATCAGAACCAGCGCCGGTCCGACAGAACGTAGCTGGTATTACCGACCAGGAGCCCCAACAGCTTCGTCCTAACATGCCGACCAGCAATAATCAGGCGGCTCAGATGTCGCAGCCAGCCCAGAGCGCACAATCGGCTCCGTCGGCTCAATCGACTCCGACGGCTCCGTCGGCTCCCTCGGCTCCATCGGCTCCGTCGGCTCCGTCGGCTCCGTCGGCTCCATCTGCTGAGCAACAGCGTCAAGGTCAACCAATAGACCCAAATGGTTAGTTTCTTGTTTTTGTTTATGAACATTTTAATACATTACATTATTGTTTCATATCAATATAATACTGTCGAAGATTTAAAACATCTTAGTATTGCTGCATATTTAAATTTAACGATGATTAACAATATTAATATTAATGTTGTTTTAACAGAAGCGGCACGCCGTGAGATGGCTAACGCTATGGCCGCCCCGCCTACTGCGGTCTATGATCGTTTCTTGCCTTGCGAGAGCATACGGCTACGACAGAGGGCAGACCCGAATAAGTAAGTTAACTAATTACAAAATATATAATAATTAATTTAAAAAGTGACACCAAATAAAATAAGACGTTTCACCATGTTTCGGACACTGATGAATTTTACGTTTACCAAAATTTTAAACATTAATCATTAGTCAAGTCAGATTGTTTAATCTGAAAAATATATACCTAAATGTCCTAAGTGACGATGTTTGCAAATTTTAATATTTCAATTTTATATTTGCCTATTATAGGTGTTTTTCGTTCCTAATTAAGGTAGAATTTTAAAAGTAATGATTGGTTTATCATCTTTCAGCTTCGAACACCAGGAGCGCATGGAAATTCTAGCCCGCATGCACCTCGAGCACTTGAATTCACGAGACATACGTCATCTTGAGAGGCGCGGCTGCCATCTAACTAATGTAAGCTTCCTTCTTCTATGTAATAGAAAACAATAACCATAGACAACTGTACGAATATCATTTTGGACACGACACAGGTGGAAGTTCATTATACTGAAAATCAAAAATACCAAAATATTTCACAATGGAATTTGATATCAATATAATTGATTTCAACGCTGGTTAGAAACTAACAAAGCGAACCCAGTCTATTAAAGATATTTCTTCCCCAACAAACAAAAAATTAATTTCGATCAATGACAAACCATGCATAAGAATATATAACCTTAAACGTTTTAATTATTATACTGTTCGTAAGAAACGGAATTCTTACCACTAAGAAATTAATTAGAAACCTTTATTATCCCAATTCTTAAAATTATTTAAACGACTTCAAAAAGGAGGAGGTTCTTAATGTCTGTATGTTTTTATTTTCAGTCGCAGTTCACGATCATGCATGAACTGTTGCAGAGCAGGCCTTCAAGACTGACCTACATTAACGCCTATTTGGTAGTAGTTGTAAGTTTTATTTATTATTACCTTAATAATTCTTACCCATTGATTTTTTTGTAAAAATATTAGTAGATTTCTGCTAATTTACTAATATTTATTGTATCATTCCAACTAAGCTTTATACTTGTTTACGACAATCGTTAAATGGGATTCGACCCCCGACTGCATTATTGGAAATCCTTACCGTTAACCATTAGGCTATTGGCGCTTATAATTTAACGCATTCTCTATGATTTTTACTTTTAATGTTACTACTACAAACCGAGAAAGTCACAGTTTTAATTTACGAATCAATAGTTATTGCTTTATACTATTAATACGATGAATATAATATCTATTACTTAATAAATTTGATGATGAGAGACAAAGAAAGATGGAATTTCATGAAAGAGAAGTCCTTGGCTCCTTAAATACAGTTTTACTAGTTAAGGAGCCAAGGTAACATTAAATATTTTAAAATTAGTGAGTAATTATATAGATTTTCACTGTCGTTTTTACTCATAACTAGGTGTCACCCGCGACTCTGTTCGTGCGGACTTAAAAAAAAACTGAATTAGTAGCCTATGTGTTACTTCTGGTTACGTTCTATATCTATGCCAAATTTCAACGATATCTACGCAGCTGTTCTAAAGATACCTTCAAACACCCATCCATCCATCTAAACATTCGCATTTATAATATTAGAAAGACTCATGTACCTCTTGTTGGAATGGGTGGTAACATATATATATATATTTACAGGCAAGACAGGCGTATATGCCTGGTCTAATGCACCCAACTGCCTCAGAGGAACCGCTGATACCGTTTGAATACCATGATGTACATCGTCATGTTCAAACGTTCGCGCGACAAATTCTGCAAGAATCCCGCGCCGCCAATGCTGCTAATCCGTTCGGTGTTGTGACGGAATATATCTTGAATAGAAACAGGGCGTTTATTGCTGGCCTTATGGACGTGGTAAGTTTTTATTGTTTTAAACGTTGCTTTTCACAGACTTGAGAAGACAAATTAAATGGTAGAAAGTAATATTGTATGGTTGCGTATGGTATATACTGAATAGTCTGTTCGCTATACAGACATAGCGATATGTCAACTGTATTTTGCTCCGCCATCTTGATAACATTGATGAAGAGGTTGCGAGCGACAGATGTTGGCGACAAAAGAATAAGTTGTCATTGCATACCGAGAAAAATCGCCCAGTTCAGAAGATGTCAATTGCGTTGTATACAAGGCTTATTCTATTTGAAAAAAAAAAATATAACAGTACGTGCATGTTTTGTTAGTGGCAACTTTTTCATGTTGATATGTTATTACACGATACCGCTTATTAATATATTTTGTTTGTTTTTCCAGAGCACTGGATTCCGTATCCGCTGTTATATGCGACCAGACGTTGATTTACATCGCACTTTGTCAAACTTCTTTAACAACCGGCTGCCGCGTTGCTTTATGAGCATTTTGAGCCCCAGAGACTCTTATATGTCCGCTGCTGAATTCTACTCAATGATAGGAAGTTTGCATCGTGATCTGCTCGCCCTTATTATGTGCTGCACCAACAGCGAACGCGGCTTGCAATCGATCCATCGACAGTTCCTCGTAAGCGAATCTTAATATTTATTGAATAAAAAAAAATAATCAGTAGTCAATTTATGCTTTCAGACTATTTTCAACATTTATGCCAAATTACAGCGAGATCTGTTGAGCCGCTCTGTAGATATCCTCGATAAACATTCATCCAACCATATGCACTGGTCCAATTTTACTTCGTAGTAATATAGAAAATGCGAAAGTTTAGATGGATGGATGGATGTTTGTTAGAAAATATGTACAAAACGGCTGCATGGATAGTGCTAAAATTTGGCTAGGTATAGATCTAAGCCAAATTCCAGCGCTTTTTCCAGACCATATTTCCACAGACTATATTTTCCAGACTATGTCCCATGACATAGTCTGGAAAAAGACCTAGGATATTATTTTTTTTTTAATTCCGCGCGAAATCTAGTGAAGCTATAATTAGTCTCTTCAATTCAGGTGAGCATTTGACTATTTAATTTTAAATTTCAGAACCAGCTATTGGAAGGGGTTGATGAAGACACTGCGCTATATCTGAGAACGTTTGCTCATGAGATATTCCTGCAGCTGAACGTGACTCCCGCGTACGCCGCGTACCACAACCTACGAGTTCATTTGCATATGTTTTCTGAATACACCGTGGTATGTCAATTATCTGTACACCTTCCACCATATTCTTTCATAATATATGGCATAAGTATCCTAAAAAATAATGCATATTAGATCCTTATTTAAAGAACATAATAAACGTAATCTGACTTAAAAATTATAATAAAACTATAGTCGACGTGGGCTTAAAAAAAAGTCACGCATAATATGGCTGCGTGCATCAGCGATTCCATCAGTCCTGTGAAAATCAGTCCTGTCGTTCCGGAGGTTACCCGGAATAAACGCTTTTTTACTTTGAAAATTGGATTTTTATTGTGAGCAAGACTAGTACACGACGTGAAATGATTTTATTTTTTCGATATTACACACAGACACTCCAATTTAATAAATAAAAATAGATGTAGTAAATGATAGTATAGTATACATATATAAACTTACCGTGTAGTGACCACACTATCCCGCCGTTACTCAACGCATTCAAGGTCCGCCTGAACGATGTCTGATCCTATGTTAATGTATAAGATTTTAGTCATTATTACAACAGTTGTAGATCAATGGCTGAGATGTTATTGTACCATATTACATTGTACTTATCTTGTGCGTCATTGAAGATATTTTGTCAATATAATATTTCTTTTCCACCAGTTCCAACGACAGGACCTCGAATCGCAAATGTCAGCGCTTCAAGAGCCGAGGTTTGAATCTTTCTCTGATATGTCAAGAATGCAATTTTCACCGCCAGAACGGGTGTCGAGTCTGGCACCGATACCACTTCCCTTCGGGCAGCCCCAGCCGACAAGCAGGCCTACATCGTCTTCTGTGCTGACACCAACACAGACACAGGTCACGTGGCCTTCATTAGAATCCCACCCTTCATCCAGGCCCAGGTCTTCCTTAATTACGTCGCCAACACAGGCCACGCGGCCTACAGGAAGCCCCAGGCCGACAGTCAGGCCCACGCCGTCACCTATGTTGCAACCAACACGTGCCACGTGGTCGTCATTAACATCCCAGCCGGGAAACAGGCCTACGTATGCCTCTATGATCGCCAGCAAAACAGCCGCGCAGTCTAAAGCAAGACCCCAGTCGACAGGCAAGCCCACGCCGTCCTCTGTGACGTCACCAACACAGGCCACCCAGTCTACAGCAAATCCTAGACCGACAGGAAAGCTTATACCACCCACCCAGACCGTGCGGCCCATGCCAAACATGATGCCACGGTCTTCTTATCCGTCTTCCCATTCGCAGGGACCTCGTAAAACGCTAGCTATGGCTATGTTTGAATATGAGTTAGCCATGGCAAACCCTGATGCTGTCGCCGAGAATGGAAGAAGGCTTCAGAATCCCATCCTGGCCGCAATGAGTACAACCACAAATGTGCCACCAAATGCAGACACACAAACGATCATCGACGAAGATGAGTTCACCCTCGGCCCAAATGATTTCTTAGATAGTGAGGAAGATATTGACGAAACTGAAGATATTGATGACACAGAAGAAAATTATGAAGAAGTCAAGGAACAAGAAAAATATGTAGAGCAAGTTACAGTAAAAAACAAAGGACAAGGAAAAAAACAGAAGGAGATCGCGAATAAAACCACAAAAGACGAAAATGTTCAGTCTGCTAACTCGGATGATAACACTGTAGCCGCAAGCAACGTTGCAGCTAACACAAGTGGCCGTGCTGACGAAACACATAATTCGAACCAAACAGATGGTTTGGTCTTACCGGTTGCAGTAACGCCACCTGTTCGAGCTGATCCTATTTCTCACAACGAATCAGATGAGAGCGACGGCACCGTGCCAGAAGGCAGGTCCCAGCGCCGCAATCGGTGAGTATATTTCTAATCTTCTAATACATTCAAAGAGGGATTCTCCAATTATTTACCCGATAAAACTAGCATAAACATTAAAGGGCACATTCTAAGGTATAGTGGTTTTAACCTAGCAATCAGTTTTTAATTTATTAATAGAGTAACAATTTATTCCATATTATAGTTATAATCACCATTATGTACGTAATCATGCAAAAATAGTATGCATATAGTACATATATTACATATTTACCAAGTTTGTATGAGATGGTAAGCGCTATTCGCATTCGCTTCTAAGCTCGATTTTTTAAAGAAGCGTACATAGAGAATGAACAGCAGCAGAATTTATAAGAGCACAACATAACACCAATTTTGGTAAATGCCAGCTTCTACACATTTTTCACACACCGCTTGTCTCATATTCAACAGTGTGAGTACAACTACCTAGGATTTTACATGAAAGCAAATCTCATGTTAAATTTCAAATCCTAATATAGTGAGTGTAGTCTGACAAGGAAAGTAGAAAACCCTGTCGTGTTCCGAAAAATTTATATTATCTTATAATGGTGGCCATTTCAATAAAATTAAAAATGACATCCATCGCATTGACTACTGATTGTTGTCGATTGTGTAATGTGTATTTAAATGTATTAAAATGAAGAGATAAACTGCCTTTTACACAGTTTGTATTCCAGCAATAAATGTTTTTTTAATACTACAGATATACACCGTACAAAGTGCTCTGAGGATTGCAGCCATAGCAACGACTTCGTCAAATTTCATATATTTTTTTAAAGATCATAAATTATTTAAAAACTAAACCGACTTATTTCATCCGTGGATGAATTCCGGCTTCAGATCTTTTTTAATTAAGGTAGTCAATAAGGAATTAATTTATTTAAATCGCTAAAATGAAGTGTAAAATTCTTTGACAGATGACAGCGGACTTCTGTCGCTGGCGCCACCTACTTAGGGCTTTTAGTTTTTCTACCTATTGAGGTGTAATTTTAGAGTTCCTGATAATTTGACGTGTCCAAAATAGCAGCATAACAGCTAAGAAAAAACATGTAACATCATTTATATCAGAATATATCTAAAATAATAGGTACGCTTAGATGTCTAGTGTTCCCATATCAAAATTGATGTGGCGCCCTCATGTCATGACAGGTTCAGTTTTTTATATTCCTAGTCCGGCTATACGAAAGAAGAACTTGTCCAAGTATGACGTTTTGATATTTGGCTAGTTCTTGCGGTTAAATAATATAATACGTAAAATGATTTTTCACGATTAAAGGAGTCAACCGTACCGTTATCTTACTTTGGATATTTGGAAACGTTTACTTCAATTTTATATTGTTACAGCTTTGCTTACGATGCCTGTATATTATAAAATGTGCACATCTGCTATTTTAACATTTTTAACACGTTCCATGTCACTACGATTCGTCAGGGAAGTCCGCACTGAGAGAAACAATCGTAATAATGAATAACATAAGTTTAATTTACGTCGGTGATGGTCAATAGTTAAAAAAATTAATTTCATCATTGCAAAGGTTATCTTAAAAAGGAACAAAATCTGGTATACATATAATTAATAAGAACAAACGCCGTTATCGCAAAGTGTTGACAAATTTTATGGAAATCCACACGCCAAGGTTCTCTTGCATCCTGATACTAACTATAGGTTGGACAAAAATTCTACTTTGCGAATATCCTATGTAATAAATAAATATATTATTTTATTGTTTTAAAGCAAATGGATTAAAAGAAAGGAATTTTATTTTTTCCTTTAAATGTATTTCGCTGTCTTCCCTCTCCCACCTTTTTTTCCATCTCTGTCTATTTATTATTTTAAACTTCATTAAAAGTATTCACTATATGTTTATTTACTACCTTTAATCTACGATACATCAAATGTGATTCATCATCAACGAAAACGAAGGATTTTTTATGGGAACAATTCTAGTAAGAAGTGTATGTGTCTACTGAATAAATGGCATCAACATATGGAAGAATTTAGCAAAACATATAGCGTTATCGTCATCTTACATACGTCCTCACCGAGATTCAAGACTACTCAAGTAAGAGTGTCTACGCCTTTATAAAACTATGCTGATCCAAGGATTGTAAAATGTTGTAATAATCAACTATTATTCCTAATTCGAAAATAACTTACAAAATTTCACATTACGATAGTCATTTTTACAACATATTATAAAGAGTGTTTAAACGCATTGTATACGTTTAGTACAACGATGGAAAACAACGAAGTACGCAAGTATATCATTTAACATTAGCGTAGTAAGATTTGGTTCGCTTTTATAAAGCTTTGCTGACATCATCACGCTTCAAAGAATGCTACCGCAACGCACAAATACTTCTCACATTAATTTTGCTGCCTTTACTCCCCTTTTCCACTACAGCGTCTGACCGCGCTTTTGCTGTTTCTATAACCTTTGTATTTCATAACTTATTTCTATTAACTATGTATTCCACTGACGCGTTTCCGTCTATCATAGAAATAGCAGTCACTCGTGCTCAGTACTACTTGAATAGTGGAAAAGGGGACTTCTTATAATGATAGTCCGTATGTACATATAAAGATAAAAAAAATCATTTCATTACTTTATAACTATTAAAATCTCATTAAAGTAATATATAATTAAATTCACAAAGATATTATTTAGTACATTTGAAATAGATACCAAAGTTTATAACTTTATATAATTAAAAAAAATTGAGTTCAATGTTTTATCTGAAATAATAATATTGTTAAATTATCTTATGCCGTTTAAAAAAAATCCACATTCAAGCAGTATCAAAATAAAAGAATCCGCGAAGCAAAAAGCGCTTTTTTCAATTTTTATTTTAGTATTAAATGTTCAAGACTTTACGATTTCGTTATTTTTTTTTGTTATTTTTACTTTGCCAAGATCATAATCTGTGTAACCATTAGCCGTGTAGACGTGTATTGCTTTATTATATTTAGTTAAGACTTTATTTTTCACATTAAATTTTATTTTTACCTCAGGGTTCGTCCAATGGAAACGACACAAACTACATCAGAACCTGAAGAGAACCGACCGGTAAGACAAGATATACAATACATTAGAATCAATTTTTCAAAAACATTTTACACACACGGGGGTTTCCCGTTGGGCCGATTGGGCTACCGGTTGAAACCGATTTATTTTACGGGTTCGATCGATCCAATGGAAAAATTCTCCATTGGGTCAATCGGCCCAACGGGAAACTCTTATACACACATTCGCATTTTTTCTCGGCTGACTAAGGAGAGTAATGTTTTTTCGCACGTATTATGTAAGTATGCTGTTATATACATGGGTATGTATTTCAATTCCATTGTGACCTAGACATTAAACGACTGAACCGGTTTTGACCAGTCAGTCTGGATTTTTTTTAGGTTTTTTTAGTAGCAATTTATGTTATTACAATACGTAGTAACTGCCTTTACCAATCCATTCGTATAGATTTTAATATTTGTTATAGTGTGTCTTTTTATGATTGATTGGTTTGACAATTCATTTGACGATTTACTAGAGATGGGTTGGATAAAATCGATTATGACAATTTTAGATTTTCCTTTTCTTTTCATAAAGCTCGCAATTGAAAATTTCTTGATTATTGTTTTAGAATTAGAATTTTATTCCTACTTTATTCTTTCAAACTACATAAAGAATAAATATTGAATTAAAAATGTTGATGTCAAACAAAAATTAATATTTTTGAATGTTTTTTTAGTTAATTGTGCGAGACATATGTGTGATAAATTCAAAAAATTAAAAAACAGAATTAAAGTTATTGTTCGATTATTTTTTTTTACCAGAACGAATATCGATAGTTTACAGTTGGTAGTTATGCGCGTATTCCCGGCACTATTACAACCGTCCATTAAGTACAATATTAATCCTCATACAAAATTAATTCGATACTTACATAGGCGTCAGTTGTCAAACTAATCAATCTTAATACACTACATAATACGTATGAACTTTATATTGACACTTTATAGATTATTTACAAAAAAAAATTAAACATTTAAGGCGTAGTTATGCTTTTTTACTTTTAATTTTAGTGATTTTATTTTAGCGTATTATTTTAGATTTACTAGTAGTTAGTTAGCAAATTTTGGTTTGTGCCAGGACAAGGTATACTTATATACTCAATACACACTCTTGGTATAATTTTCAGTTTGAATCAGATTTTACTGATTGTATTGTGAATTTCACATACTTGATGTTATTCACAAATAACCTTGGATGAAGTACCATTTGACTAGCGTTTTCTACAAGGCTGTTATACACTTCTCACAGAATAGAAGAAAGCTACACAAAATATTACGAATTGGGAATAATGGATTTTTCACCTTTGTAAAGTAGTTGTTGAAGATATTGATTTCTATTGATTTTATGAAGAATTGTAGATATAGTAGTTTTCAAATATCTTGCCAGCTCATTTGTTCTCCGAAGCGCTGCGCAGAACACAACTTTAGGTAGCGGGGGGAGGGCAATGCACAGCGCACATCGATGAAATCAGGCAGCCAACATATTTGAAAAGTTCTATACATTAATTTTTAAGCTGTATTGATAATTTGTTTAACTAAAGATTTTTTGTAACATCATAGAATGTTCTAAAAATTCTACATTTTTTTTATAAAATATAAAAAAGCGTTTCGTAGGCATGCAATGTTTCTAAAAGTATTTAACTATTTCGCGAATGTGCAGGTTTTATCATGAGATAGCGGTAGCCCATAGAAATGTGAGGAGTAATAAATTCATTTTTTTTTGTGTGTGAAAGATGTAAAAATGAGGAGTACTCGCTTTCTGCCTTTTTATACTGTTAGGTCTTAATATAGTTTGGCAATGCGAATGTTTGTAAATATAATAAATGAATTGTTAAAAAGTTATGCAATAAAAGTTTTCTTAAACATTTTTATTATTTGTTTTAGCATTTAGTAGTAGTATTTAAATTAAGTCTTTCTTGTGATACTGTACATATTTTACATGTAATGTGTTTTAGTGAAAAGAATCAAGGACACCGACATTTGACTGGAGCTGGTCTGATGCTGTGGTGGATAAAACCCTCTTGTCTTTTTTATTACGTTGTACGGCAGCGTGTACTTTTTTCGGGTTTTTAAAGAACGACTCGAATGTTTAACGCGAATCTCTAAACGTTTTTCAGGACCTCAAAAAGGTGGACTTTTTAACGACCTTTGTTCTTGGACCAAGAATCTTGGTGAACGTTTTTGGTATTCTTTTAAAGCTCTAGCTTGTCTCGTTATTACAAATAGTTTAGTTAAACATCTAGTGTGTTTTCAGGAAGACGTATTTACCTTAAATGTAGAATGTTTGACGAAGCATTCAATTGATGCGTGTTGCTATGCGATTATAGAATGGGTAACCATTCTTATTAAATCAGCTGAAGCGTATCACGTTTTTGTAAGTTTTTTTAGTAGCATTCAGGATATGTTCTAAATGCATAAGTATTATTTGACATGCAGCAGAAGATCCCGTCAATACTGATCATCCAGCATTGGGGCGAGGAGTGGGTGCCAGTTCTCTCGAGCGACCAGTCCAACCAGCGCAGCGATCAGCCGCCGTTTAGCAATGCTTACCTTAGCGGAATGCCCTCCAGAAAACGTCGCTGCATCCGACGCTCGCGGCCACCAACAGATCTCGATGGCTTCATTAATGGTGATTGAAACGGTTTTATATCAGTACATCAGCTTACACGACTTATCTCAAACGAACTTTGACCATAATATTTATATTTACCACCTTATCTACATAGCAGTGTGGACTACGCTTTATCACCGCTCATTTTGCCCTTACACTTTTCCTATTGCATTCCCATTTGCTTTAAATTCCGGTTCTTGTTCTTGTTCGACTTTGTTATACGCTATTAACACGTTGGCTGCCATGTTGGACTATATGTCCGACAAGCTAATGTTTCAATCAGGCTGTGTCGGACTATGTGTCCGACAAGCCCTACTTCCATTCAACACCTCGCTGTGGCTTGTCGGACGCTTTTTAATCGAATTGTTGTATACAGCGTGACCCGCAAGACCCCATAAAGTTTATAAATAGCGGGTCAATTATTTTCGTTTTTCGAAAATAATCGACCCGCATGAAATCATTCACACAGCTAACGTGTTAACTGCCATTTTCCTTGCAGCATCACTTTGAAAACTCGATACTTTTGCTGATAATACCTCCTTCTGCTTTTAATAATGTATACTTTTAGTATGCGTCATGCATTTTGCACTCCTTGGATAACGATACCATAGTTACTGTATGCATTAAAGTTTTGTGTGCTCATTTCTGATTAGCATCGCTCAACGAGGTTTCTGGTAGCGTCAGCGATGGTGACGCGTCAAGCGTACGTGCCGCTTTTCGAGACCACATCCGGCGGCTCGTCCGCGCTCGCGTGGCCCTCGTTGAGGCGGCCGACCCCGAGCGATACACAAACGCGGCAAGCTTTCTTCAATCAAGGTGAGATAAGTTATTTTACAATACATCGTACACTTTACACATTGCACGCTCCGATGTTATTTTGACTTGAAAACTCATATATAAAGTCATATGTTTGATGTATCGCCACCGTGACTGCGAGATAATGTGAACAAGAACATAGATGCTATCTTAGTCTGAGTAAATTAATAGATTGAAGGTGAAGCAAAAGTGACTTCACAAAGTTGAGTCAATTGGGGAGATGAAGTTTGAACGATTCTGAGCTGTTTTTTATTTCAAAATATTATTCCTACAGCATCCAAACTTACAATATGAGTTAGTCTGGTGATAGGTTACTCTCGTCCTTTTAACACATACAATGCCATCACCACTTACACTATTCGTAAGTAATGCGTTTTTATTATTTTTCTGGCATCAGTTCGGAGATATCGGAGGCACAGACAGCAAGATGCTAACCGACGCCTCGACCGCTTTGGATGATTGATCGCTCAAAAGAACTTGGCAAACAAACGACACTAGGCTATTCACACGGATCCGATCAATGCAATTGTACTTCGGCAAATGTATTACATAGTCTGACCAAGAATATAGAAAACCTAGGCATGCTGTCTTATATAGGGTAATGGCGACATCATTTTCCTTCAAAAAATTCGTTGCCATGACACTGACAGTGTTTTATTTTAATTGAAGTATAATTTTGATTAAATTGTATATAATTTTGTTACTTAAAATTGTGAAAAATCAATCAATTCACATATTCGGAGTAAAAATATGCATTTAAAAGAGAATAAGTCTGAAATACTGGTATAATTTTTTCCTTATGTCAAGTATTGAAATATCAAAGAGGATTACGATATCCTCGTACGAGGTTATTTATATTCTTGGTCAGATTATAATTAATTTAATTATTTTGTAAGTTTTTCTTTTATATTTATTATATTATTTAATGATTTTTTTGGTCAGATATATATTTTAATCCTCTTGTCTTAGGTGAGCAGTGCTGCTACTAATGTGCAACTAATCTTTGGTTTCAGAGACCAAAATCCTTGTATAAAGAATATTGTTATCTCTATTATGTGAAATAGATGATGCCGATATATTTTAAACTGGGATTTTGGTCTCAAAACCAAAGATAAGTTGCGTTTTTTAGCTCAACTGTGCCAAGGGGTGAGATTTTGGTGCAAACTTCGGTAAATGTGCAAATTCTTACGTATAGCTTTTGTCTTAATATTGTTTTGCTGTTAAAATTATATTCTTACTTTAAACGCTTGAAGTTTGCATCGATGTCGAGGTGATTTACTCTGTACCAAGTCGATGGCGCAATTTTCTAATGTATGAACTTTGTCGCCCGGTGACAGTGACAATGTCACTCGTGAGTCGTACATAATCCAACACGTATGTACCTTATCGACTCGGTAAACAAGATGAGTAAAATATTATTGAATTATAATTTTCACTTTTTGGACTTTACCGTATAACTGAATGTTGTTTGTTAGTTTGTAACTTAGACGTAACATTGGTGTTTATAAAATAATTAATATCTACAATGTAAACACAGTATGTCTGACACAACCCTTTACTGTGAAATGGAGTGGTTTATGAGTATGAACTATTATTCATTTGTGATTAATAGTAAAGAAATCTTGAATATAATCTTTCGAATAACACTTATTATACGGATGGTTTTTTTTATTAAGGTTTTTATTTCTTTTCATACTATAATTAGTTAAATGAAAAAAAAACGGAATTTGTCTTAAGGCTGATTAAACTTTAGGGCTTTATAAAACGGCTGAAAGCCTTAGTGTGGTCCAAAATTTTAATTATCATTTAAAAAAAAAAAACAAACCTATTTCAACTACGAAAAAAATGACGGGCTTATTTTAACAGAAAAATTAGTAATAAATTAATATTTATTAAAAAAAATTGTAGATAAATACAATTTTTGATCAAAATTGTTTAAATTTGTTGAAAACACAAATAACAGCGTGTTTCGACTGCCGTGATACACGTTGCATGCATATTTACGATCTGCATAGTACTGTTTGGAAAAACAAAGAACAACTACGGGGTCACGGCAGTGTATCACGATAAAGCTAACTAAATAATCAACAAGACAATTCATTTAATTTCTGTTTTTAATATAAAAGACGTAAAAAATAATAAAAACTTTTTCTTTTTCTTTAAATTTAAAAAGCTTTAAGGAATGAGCTGTGAGGATGAAGCGAAGGGAATGTGGTTAGTTTGTAAGGGGGGTGTCAGAATTATGTTCGATGTCTTATTATAACGATATATTTAATGTGACTATATAATTCAATGGTATCTCTTATTTCTATCTGATAAACTGAAATTGTTTTAAGCCAGCTATACATATATACGTTTTAACTGCACAGGCAAAACGGAAGGTGTGTAACTGGCTTTTCTTAATACTTATCGTCGCTTAAGCGTGACAACCTTGTATCGCCTTTTGCTTTGGGGGTACTTAAATCAGACACTACTTTTTTTTATCGAGGGAAATACTTTGTGCATACTGCTCTGGTAGGAACACGGTAGTTATGTGGGATTCTCGCCCCCATACCTAGCTCCTACTAGGACCTAAGAATTAGGGAGCATAACCACTAAACCAACTTAGGTTTCTCCCAGCTGCCGAAGTAGCTCCATCTCAGTGCGAAGGCAAGCCCAATCTCAGGGAAGCGTGGTAGAAGGGCGCCCCTTTCACTCGGCCCTTGGGTGACAGCTCGCCCCGAACCCGCTTCCGGGTTATGGAGACCAGAAATTTGGGGAAATAAACAAAAGTTTCATTAACATCTTTAAAAACTGAAACAATCATAGTTTTCCTCTTTTATGTCAAATTTGGCAAAGGACTTTGAGGTTTTCACCCTTAAGGGGCGTTATGAATGTAAAATTTTTATTATTTGTCAAAGCAGTGTGGTAAATCTTACCAATATTTAGTTGAGGTTAAGTTGAACAGGTGAGATGTTCGTCATCTTCTGTTATTCCTAAGGAGGGTAGGTACGGTATGGTATCTCCTACTCATCTATACGTTTCCCTCCTTCCTTACGCTTAATTTCTTCGGTCTTCCTCTACAGTTGTCTTTTTTCACTCGTAACATTATAAGGTAGTAATATTGATGTCTATTTATCTCTAGAAATGGTAAGGTATGTAATACAGTATCTCACGTAACTATTGTCTACTTTTTTTATTTCATTTTTTTACACTTCGTTCCACAAAACCCTTTTTTTCACTTAAATTTTGTGATTTTGTAAATTTTTACTTAACTTGTTAGGTTGTTTTGTTTTTTATTGATAAGTTGTTACTTAAATATTTTTTAAATTTGTTGAAATCTATATTTGTTTAAATATTCAAGTTGAAATTGCATTTTGTTGACTCATTTCTTTAATAGCACAAACGGTAAATCGTAGTGCATTCATATTTATTATATATTATTAGAGTTAGGGTAATAAATGTGTTTTTTCTTGGAGATGTAATGTTTAGGAGAGCATAAATGCTGTAATCTATATTCTTAGTTATAGGCCCGACTTCGGCAACATTGTACTTCTGTTAATTTCTAGACTTTAACGGACAGACACTGTAATAGTCTGTAAACTTGTTCGGCCATTTTGAAAATGACATCATGCCAATTAAAAGTTATAGTATTTTTATCACACGAGGCGATGCGCGCTTTATGTCTGGTTTACTTTACGAGTACAGTGAGACAGTAGCAAGACTAATGTGTTGGCTTACAAGCGCCAGTTGGTGTTTACACTAAGCCAGTATGCCAGCGCAGATGTTAAGAGCTACTGTCTTACTGTACTGTTGTAATGTAATCCAAACATTTTTTTTTGATAGCAAGTCCCCTATGTGTGTGTTAGCTGAGAAGCTCTCAGTATTGAGGCGCGGGTGAAGATGGAAGGAGATAGGGGATTTTGATACATTCAAACTCAGAATACTGACTGTACTAATTTTCACGTACCACGTTCTTAGCGTGATTTAAACAAGTTTACAAATAAAGCGCAAGTCCTTTATGAGATAAAAATAATATAACGACGTCAAATTGTTGTAAGACTTGACTTAGTCAGCGACTTTCTCTGGCTCTTCGTACACAAGCCAACGCAAATAGTGAAAGTATCGCGTTGCCCGCGATCCATTTACAAATTGTTGAATCGTCGAAGCGAGTCATCTATTCCATCAAAATAGGCTTAGCGACTACACGGCTGACGCATATCTAGAAAATGTCAACCGTATAGATCTGCTTCGCCGTCTTGAAAATCGCAGTGACTTTTCACGATGATCATCACAAACAGGGGCCTAATACGAATATTTGCGAGAAAGTATTCGTAATGTTATCGACAAATTTTACATTTGTACAGCACTCCTAACGGGCGTAAAGTACAATGACAAATCGCATACGAATTTAATCACATTTTGTTGATGACAATGAAAACGTATATCGCAAATATTCGTGATAGACCCTCAGCGGGCGACTGGTGTCAAAAGAACAAAATGACGACGACGCGTGCCTGTGTACCTATATGACATTGTATTCCGCAAGACGCTTAGAGAGTAAATTTACCGGGTATCCAAGATTTGCGTAGCTTTGTTACGAAGGGCCTACTATTTCCTTTTAACGAATGCTCAAATTCAATTCGACAATTTATGTCTAGGTTAAGAATTTTGAAGTTCTCTCTAGTTAAGAAATATCGATGTCGTGATGTAACAGTAGTGAAAATAAAAATTCATAAAATGTAAAAGTGTTTTTTTTTTGTTACCCTATATCTTAATATCATAATAGGTGAAAATATACCTTATGGACTAAAAGATGCTCATATAACTTCAATATCTCAAAACCCGTGGATTTGTAAGACCAAAATCCCTTAATCATATTTTTATCTTTGTTTTGTCAAAGCTAATGACGATATGTTCTAAACAGAGTATTTGGTCTTGGAAACCCACTGTAAATTCCTGCATAAAATCAGGAACTGCTAGACTGCTCTTGAGCCATGGATAACTCAACTAAAATTGATGATATGAAGTTCAGCTCACTGTTCATATGTATACAGAAGGCTGCCAATTATTTGTTGAGCTGAACGGTTCATGTTAATGTGGACCGAACTCTTGAACCGGTTTAGGGTAGTTATGAGTAACTAAATTAAATCGATGACTTGCTGTTCTACAACTGAGCTGATGATGCTCACGGTATCGGTATAGAGCTGTGAGCTGCCAGTCACCCATTAGTAGATATAAAGCTCGCGGTCTGATTTAGTACATTGCAGTTGGAGCTGCCAATATAGTTCATGAGCCGCAGGTTCAAGTTTATGTGAGCTGTGACTTTTGAGTCGGTCTTAACCGACTTACTTTTAGACTTAGCTCTTAAGCTATTTACACACGTCTATAAAGTTGCGTAATGTTTTGGTTAGTTTCAAAAAGCGCCATCTCTTGTCGGATTCAAAGATGAAAAGTGATCACCAAAAGTTATCTTAAAATTATATTAGATGGCGCTATAAAACCTTTTCCGTAATCACTCAAATATTGAAAATATAAATGCAAACTGTCTGAAAGTAAATTAAACTTTAGGCGTTTCTAATTATTTGTTGTTGTCCATTAAACTTACATCAATCGTCAGGATTATGTCGTCGCTCATATATTCTGCTAAAAAAAATTATACAACTTCCATGTTGGTTATTGTCAAAGTTTTCACGAGGTCAATTTTGTAAATAAAACCAAAAGAACATTTCTTAAGGCATTAAAATAATATTGGACTTATAACAAATAACACAGGTATTGCTTTACCGTTAAATTACTTGGAAATTAAACTGTAAGTACAACACAGACAATTCTCATGAAACCGTTTTAATAGAAGAGCTTTAGTGATTGAAATGTAAGGATAAATACATTTCTCGGCGACGACCGTCGAGTCTTTTGAAAACAGGATTTGTTTTAAGATTCTGTGGTAGCACTGGAGTGGAAACGGACAATGCTTTTAGATAATCATTGCTTGGATACTGTTTCAAGAACAGATTACAAAATAAAGATATCTGTCAAATTTATTTCCATTTCCACGGATGAATCTGGCAAAGCCAAAGTAAAAATGGCGTTAAGTCTAATTAAAATGATGTTTCAGATAAAGCAAAAATGTAATAATTTTATTGTGAATAAATTTACGCGTTTAACTAATATGTGCTGGCATTGTTTACGATTTTTATTTCGCACTTTTTTCTTCTGACTACAGATAATATAGGTACAAAACTATACTATGTTATTAAAACAGCCTTGCTTTGGAATGTTACTAATCTATGATGAGTTAATACCTATATTACGAAGTGAAGTCCTATTCATTTTTCAGATATATTCTAGACGAAGGTTCTACTTAAGTATAGAATTCTCGGCATGTGATGTGTGGTATAAGGTTTTGCTTGTCATTACAACTGGCAGTTGATCTGATTCAGAGTACCCTCATTTGTGCGTCTATTCAACAATTTAAGGCGAGATTCGTATCAATTTTGTTATTGTACTCTCTTCGGAACGGACACACTTTTAAAGTTTTTACATCCTGACGGCATTAATACTTGTATGCTTTTCGTGCCAAAATAAACTCTCGCTTTGAAATAATAAAGTTGAATATTAAAAAAATTAAAACAGAAAGTCAAATGTTGCCAGTTCGAATGCCCCAGGCTAACTGGCGGGTTCCCCCCTAT